TTTATAAAAATAATATATGTTAAATTAAAAAATTGCAGAAGCAAATATCAAATAATTTTTTTTAATTGCTATTTAAATAGTATAATACCTATAGAGATTATAGTAATATTTATAAAATATTGAAAAGATATTTCTGAAATGTTTGTTATTTATTATATATATTATTAAGCGTAAATTTAACAAGATGATAAAGTGATATGGCATTCGTGAAATTTAATGCATAGATGAATTCATAATTCGATCCTGGAAAATCACAAATGATAATCCGGGGTAGAAATGCGAAAATATGTATTCCTTTCTCGGATCCTGAGGGATCATCCAGGGTTTTAACAAAAAATAATCCGGGTTGAATCCTAAACTTTTGAATAGTGGTGTAATCGGTTTACATAACGATATTTATTCCTGCTTGGCTGTACCGTATTCGATCGCCAGATTGACACAGAATTCTAGAAGTTTCGCTTCGAGAAAGAATATAGTCGTTATGACTATTATATTATATGAGAAATTCTAACTTTTCGATTCAGAGATTAGATGCTTTAACCTTTACACTTCGTATTTGGAAAGATAAAGTTTTATTTTTAGAATGAAATGGTATGGTTATTCTAGGAATTTTATATAATTATCGGAAATGAATAGCTAGCTGAGATCATAACTGATTTTATAGAATCCCTTCACTTCGATCATAGCAACGTCACTTTCATACAATGAATTGAGTGAGATATTCGAATTTATTATAAATTATTACTTGTTAAAAAGAGGTTCCGTCATACAGAATGATTGTTATTGAACATGCCTTGAATAGATTATGTACTTTTCATATCAAAATTTGTAGCGCCGTAAAATCGTTCTTTTTATATAAAACTTTTTTTGTAAAATTTCATCAATTCGTTTCGTTTGTTAGAAAAAAAACGAAAATCACGTTTTATGACTGATATAATATATGCAAAGTAAATGTGATTGATTATATATTATTGACCCACCAGGGGTCATTTTATTGAAAACTAATTCTAATGTTAAAATATAAATACATCATAAAAATAAAAATTAAAAATAAAAAAAATAGTAAAACAGTCCTTCTAATGCGTGATTTTCGCCAACGACCAGCGGCAGCTACTCTTCGCTCACGAACCAAAAACCCTCGAGTCGTCAAAATAATATCAAAGGGTGACGTCCTTGCTGTCTCCCTAGTCCCGACCGTAAATCGGGCGCCACGATCGCTGATCGTACCTGGCGGTTGTCGGACGAGCACCCCATCACTATCACGGGAACTATAATCATACAAAAAATTGATAAATTGATACTCAAACTAAATAAACATAAGTCAATTAATACATACATATATTGCTTCTCTAATTTTTGCTTTGTATAACAAAACTCATTCCTTTAACGACTATCTTAACATCTATTCTTTCATCATTGGAACCTCTGTATTAAAATAAAGAATAAAAATAAAAATATATTAAGCATATGTATCATAATAATCAAAAATCAAGTGGCGCATTCATATTCGTGAAGTCACATTTTCCACTCACAATGAATCCGTCAGGCAAGTAAGCAGTACAGGGATATCAAAATCTTACAGCTGAAACTGTGATTACTCCATTTTACACCAAGTCTAATAACTTTGCAGAAATACTCATCTTGTCTAATCTGGTTCATTTTCTATATTTAATAATTCTTCAATGATATTTTATCTGCCTATTTCGTAAGTATTCATGTTTTAGGTAAGATTTGGAAATTTTGTTGAAGGAAGGAAGAATCGAGTAGAGTAGTTTGAAGAAACTAGATTTCAGATTTCCCTTTAATTTTCTAATATACTTTTAAAAGTTTTATAACAAAAAATTAGAGAGAGAGAGAGAGTATAGTGTGTGTGTGTGTAATGTTGTATTAAAATTATAGAGTTCCCTTTAGTTTTATAATGATAAGTATATATATTCATTATTATATAATAAATGTGTCACAATACTTTTTGAGACTATAACCAACAATTATGTTTACCATTTTTATCAATTTCTCACATGCGAAAACTTGTAATTAAATAAATAAAATAAAATGTAACTAATAATGTCTAATAATAAAAATTGATTGATCTGCAAAACTGAAAGTTTCTGCAGCTCAATACAGGGCTAGGCTAATATCATACTACTGTATACGAATAACATATATACGAGTCACAAGTAAAATTTTTATCTTTTATGCAATACATGTTCCATTACACTAGTCAAAATAATCCATTTCGTTACTTTTTAAAAGTGCCGAATGTTAGCTGAAATATAGTCTAATTTCTATCAATCATTGCCAAAACAATCAGCATTTTTAGTTATAACCAAAGTTGCTCATTTCCATGCCATACAAAAAAACATTCGACATTAACTATTGGTAGTTGTTTTATATGTTTGATAAAATTGGCTTAAATTTGTTCAACTAACAAAACAAACAAAATTAGACTTGTTAATAAAAAGTTCGGTAATATTTCAGCTATAAGTAATTACAAAATTGACGAAATAAAATTTCTGATATTTAGATGATTTTATTATATTTATTTTTGTATTTTTGATGATTTATTTATTTTATAATAACGTAATTTAATCGAATTAATAACAAATAGTTTATTAATTTAAAATATAAAATAAAATATACAATAAAATATAATTATAAAATACAATAGTACAAATATATATAAAATAAACTAAGAATCAAATAAAATTCGTTATAAATTATAATATGCCGAATTTATTCTTCTTTTTCAATATCATCACCTTCACCTTCAACTTTGGTTGCTGGTGCTGAAAAATCAGTGTCTGCTGGAGTATTTTGATCTACAAATGTCCAGTCAGAAGCATTTCAAGAGTGTCAAATATGTATCGTAAAATCATCGCTATTAGAGCTCTTAATGAGTCAAGTTGACTCACAAGTCAAATGAGTTGACTCGAGTTTGAGTCGAGTCAAGTCAAAAATTTTCCGACTCATTTGACTCGAGTTGACTCACGTGAATTGATGTTACACAAATTACTATTTTGGAAATTTTGTATAACTCATTTTAGTGATTTTCCAATTTTTCGATAGCCAAAAATTTCCTTTTAGGAATTTGTGTAACCATACATCTATATTTGGAATCTTGTGTAACTCGATTTGGTTCAATCCTGGAATTCGAAAATATATCGGTTATGAAGCTTTAATTGAATATATTTAACACGTTTTCTTGAATATCTCTGCTTCAAGTGATCCGTTAGAAATACTACACATATCATTTTGATAAGCGCATTTCGGCGAACACGATAGTGCAGATTTCACGAAATTCGGATCGGTAGATCTCGTGATAATGGCCTTTGAAGCCAAAAATCAATTTTTCAACACATTTTCTTGAATATCTCTGCGTTTAGTGATCCATTAGAAATGCTACACATATCATGTTGATGAGCGCATCTCGGCGAACACGATAGTGCAGATTTCATGAAATGCTGATCGGTAGATCATTAGATAATAGCCTCCGAAACATTAATATAATTTTATTATTTTATTATTTATATAATCAGCAAATATATTTTGGAAGTTTTTATTTGACTTGAGTTGAGTCGAGTCAAATTTAAGTATAACTCAAGTTGAGTCAAGTTAGAGTTTTAAAATTTTTTGACTCGACTCGACTCGACTTGACTTATTAGGAGCTCTAGTCGTTATAATGTCGAGTTCTCATTAATTGCGCAGTTTGTAGCAAGAATGAATAATGGTCGACCTCTCATAATAACGCCTTTAACTAATAAAATTAAATATCGGAATTAATTAAAATTTTAACAAAAATTATAAATAAATTTCTTAAAAAATATCGAACCTCATCTGATCTCCAGCTTGGATTATAAACTTTAATTATTCATGTTCCCGTTTCTTCTAAATCAGTCACTGAATCTTCAGGGAAATGATAATGATTGTCCTTCAAGATCCTCAATAATTCTTCCTTATCATATTTTGAAACTCTCTCATCGTCTAAATCAAAAAGCGAATTGGCACCTTTAATCCTTCTGGCCTTTTTCTATATTAAAATATCAAATGTTAATCTAAGTTCATTTTTCTAAAAAAAATCAATTTCGATTATATTTACCTCACTGATACGATAGTTTTTGTGTAATCGCCAATTATTATGATCTAAAGTATCACGTTATTTATATAATAACCGAACTCATCAATGCCTGTGGAGCGAGCTAAGCCAATCTCTGATTTGTTTGTATATTGTTTGAACCTTTTTAAGGCTTTGACAAAATGCTGTATTACTTGTTGTAATATTTCGGTATTTTTTTCATTATTAAACTTAAGATCGTATCTCATTTCGAGATAATTCAGCAGTGTTTTTAAAATTATTCTTATTTTAATCTAAATTATAAAAAAAATAAAGCTGATTTAAGTTAATTTAATTGATATTGTTTATATTTGATTAAAATTCGGTTAGAATTAAAGTTATTTTAATTAGAATTCAGAAGAGATTTTAAATGAACCCTGACCGTGTCATTGTCGTAAAACCCTCTCATTGCTTTCATTGCTACTGTATCAAGTTCGCTTTCCTCGATGATCATCATTTGATTCTTCATCTCTACGTCTTCGTTGGCCTCATCCAAGTTCATTTCGCAAACTCTCATTTTCACAAATAAGCCCTTCATTATCTCCAGTAACTTTACCAAATTCCATCCTTAAATATCTTAATTCTTCATTTGCTTTGCTAAGTTACCTGCTTAACTCGTCGATTCTTCTACGTAAATATGCTTTTTCATAGAAAAGTTAACAATAAATTGATTAAAAAATATATATCGGCTAAATTTTTGCAATAAATTACACTTATCTTCATTCAGCAAAAAATTAGTTATTCCAGGAGAAGCTTTTCTCTTTTTTGGTTGATAAGGAGTTACATTCCTTTTATCATGTCTTAATTTGCGATCTCATGTGTATTGATATGAAGTATATCAAAATTCATCACCTCGAGAAATGTCGAATTGTTAATGATAAGGAGTTATACTCCTTTTGCTACTCCTTTCATCGTGACATCTTTCGTCACATATTTGCCGACGTGTTGAAGACCTTTCAGTTATCCTCTAACGGAAAGATGATAATACCTGCAGATCCTAGTTATCAGCTTCTAGAATGGCACTTCTAACCATATCAGCGGTTGAGGTTTTGCCATGTTGATGTTCGTCTTTGATCCTGTAATTAAGTAAACATCATAATCTCCACCTGGTCAAGTTGGAGATTGAGGTCGAGTTTCTTTGAAAATATTTGATGGCACAAATAATTTGAATGGTTCTTCATTTGTCAGATCCTGCCAATATGAAGATTTTGATACTTCCAATTGACTTTTAGTTACCAGAACTTGCTGACTTAGTGTTTCTTAACTACTTAGATTTAGTGCCAAAACTTGTCGATATGGTGTTTCTTGGATACCAAGAGGCGTCGAAGTTGTTGTTAGAACCTGTCGACATGCTTTTTGGCTACTAAAAGGTGTCGAAGTTGTTATCAAAACCTGCTGACGTAAAGTATCTGCTGTTTCTTGGCTACTATGAGTTTCTATTACTTCCTGAGTTTCTTGTTAACGCATTGCTTCCTAGTAGCATGATGGTTTACGATGTACTGTTGCAGCCTTTTTTGACCCATATTTCTAGTCATATTTGCGACGAAATATTATTTGATAAAAGCGAGAAAATGAGAGACGAAATATTATTTGTGAAAAAGTGAGAAAATGATGTATGTGAAAGAAAAACGAAATTTTATTTGTGAAAAAAGTAAGAAAATGATGTATGCGAAAGAGAGACGAAATATTATTTTTAATGAAAGATAAATGAAATATTGTTTGTGAGAAGGTGTAAAAATTTTTTTGTCGAAAGAGATTTGAAATGTTGTTTGTAAAGATTTTGATTAAAAATAGTTTGAGGAAAATGAACCTTTTATAAGCTTTTGGTTAAATAGAGTTTATTTTAATAGTATAATACATTGCATATAATTTATATAACTTTTGATGATTAATTCTTAAAAATTTTGATTACCATGCGGTAATTGATTCAAATTTCGATTATAATGCGATATTCTTTTAAGTTTCGTTTATAATGCAATTATTCTTTTAAGTTTCAATATAATGTGCGATAATAATTTTAAATTTCAATTATAATGCGATTAATTCTTAAAAATTTCAATTATCATGCGGTAATTGATTCAAATTTCGATTATAATGCGATAATTGTTTTAAGTTTCAATTTAATGCAATTATTCTTTTAAGTTTCAATGTAATATGCAATAATAATTTTAAATTTCAATTATAATGTGATAATTCTTAAAAATTTCAATTATCATGCGGTAATTGATTCAAATTTGGATTATAATGCAATGATACAATTGTAATGTATTCATCATTTTAAGTTTCAGAATATAATGCAGGTTTTACTTTAAATTTATATTATTATATGGTTATTGTTTTAAGTTTCGATTATAATGCAGGTGTTACCAGTGTTGTCATGGGACATAGTTAGGACACTGATGGGACACTGATGGGACATTGATGGGACAGATGGGACATTTGGGACATATATGGGACATAGTTGGGACATATAGTTGGGACATATAGCTGGG